CGGATCATTTGATGAACTGATGGCCAAAAGTGGAGAATTCGCTGAATTTGTTGCCGAATATGTCGTTAAACAGGAATACGAAGACATCGATGAGAAAGAGATGCAAATTCTGGCAAAACTGAGACAAACAGTGAAACCATTGATTGAAAAACAATTGTCTGTCAGATCTAATGATAGCGAAGACACAGATATTAGACAAAGTATTTCAAGAAATGTGTCCACAAGTGAGTCAAATAAAGACCACAAATGCATAGACAAAGATCAAGAGGAAGTGTCTGATGAAACTAAAGGCAAACTAATAGACAAAGAAGTGTCGGCCAAAGGAAGCATTAAAAGCTTAGTCTACAAGAAGTATGTGGAAGTTTTTGGGCCAATTAGCTTAGCTTTCATTATAATCACATTCATTATGGTAAACATCGCGAGCGCGGCGTCGGGTCTATGGCTAAGCGAGTGGTCAAACGACTCAATGGACTCGAATACGGCTAACGATACGGCTCTACGATATCGGCGGCTATGGGTATACGCGGCCATCGGTGGGGCCGAAGCGGTCGCACTTATTATCGCCCAAATATGGCTACGGCTGCGGTGCGTACGGGCGGGTCAAGTGCTGCACAACCAAATGATGGCACGTGTGGTTCGGGCGCCCATGTCCTACTTCGGTCAGTGAATAGTGATATGTCATTCATAATCATTACTATTAATTACGACAGCATTCCTCCACTGTTACAGACACGACACCAATGGGACGGATACTCAACCGGTTCTCCCAAGAGATGGGTATAGTTGACGGTTGGGTAATGCATGTACTGAGCGGTATACTCGTCAACAGTTTTGCGTTAGTCTTAGCTCTGGGAATGTTGTCATTGGAGACACCATTAGTACTGCTGGCCATCGGACCCATTATTATAGTTTATATCGTATGCCAACGGGTGTTCATCGCCAGCTCTCGACAGATCAAACGACTCGAGTCGGACACCCGTTCACCGATTATCAGCCATTTGAGTGAATCATTCAACGGAACGGCAAGTATTAGAGCGTTCGGCGCCGACCACTGGTTTGTCCGGCAGTCGTACCGACGGATAGACGCTAATAATCAGTGTTGGTATTTGAGTTTTTGTGCCGAACAATGGATGTCTGTAAGACTCGAGTTCTTGGGATCTCTAATAGTGTTTGTGTCAGTCATGGCTGCTGTGATTTTTAGGGATCAGTTGTCGCCCGGTTTGGCCGCACTCGCCATCAATTATTCATTGAACTTAACGTTAATATTAAGTACTTTTATACGATCTGTTAATGATTCCGAGACTACTATGATATCTATTGAAAAATGTCTGGAATTAACACAAATTCCTGAAGAAGTAATTATAATTAAATATATTAAACGTTATAATTAATATTTTTGTACATATTTTTAAAGGCCGAGTGGTATAACGAGAAGACCAAACCCGCGACCGATTGGCCGACAATGGGTTGCATTTCATTCACAGACTATTGCACTAAATATAGATTTGGTTTGGATTTAGTGCTCAAAGATATAGCAATTGATATGAAAGGCCGACAAAGGGTTGGAATCGTCGGCCGCACCGGCGCTGGAAAGTCGTCCCTCGCGTTGGCTCTCTTCAGACTCATTGAGCCGACGGCCGGAACCGTTACCATCGATGGCGTCGACTGCTCTACCATTGGATTACAAGACTTGATGACAAAGGGTTGCGATCGTCGGCCGCACCGGCGCTGGAAAGTCGTCCCTCGCGTTGGCTCTCTTCAGACTCATTGAGCCGACGGCCGGAACCGTTACCATCGATGGCGTCGACTGCTCTACCATTGGATTACAAGACTTGAGATCGAGGCTAACAATCATACCTCAAGATCCGGCGCTTTTCTCGGGTTCTTTGCGCTATAATTTGGATCCTTTGGTCCAATACTCAGACCTCGAGATATGGCGGGCCTTAGAGTCGGCACATCTGAAGACATTCGTGGAGTCACTGGAAAGAGGTCTCAATCACGACATCGCAGAGAACGGCGAGAATCTGAGCGCCGGTCAGAAACAGTTGGTCTGTTTGGCCAGAGCTCTACTCCGACGGACTCGGGTGCTAGTGCTGGACGAGGCGACTGCCGGTCAGACACTAACCATACTTTACTCATGTCTTATATGACTAATAATTATCTTGTTTTACAGCCATTGATATGGAAACGGATGACATAATTCAGAAGACAATCCGCGAAGAGTTCTCTTCGTCGACAATCATAACAATAGCCCATCGATTGAATACTATTATTGATTACAATTTAGTTATAGTTTTANAATAGCCCATCGATTGAATACTATTATTGATTACAATTTAGTTATAGTTTTAAACAACGGATCGATCGCAGAGTCGGGAACACCGGAACAGCTCTTAGCGGACAACACATCCATCTTCTACTCAATGGCTAAACAGGAAAAACTTGTCTAAAAGTCTTAAACATTTCAATCTCTATATTAAAAATAAAAATTATTATTTAATTATTAATAAATAAATAAAAATATTTTTAATAAATACAAAAAAACAAAATTTAATGTTCATATTAGGAACTTTGTAACATAATGTGCTTATATGTATTTTGACGTTGCAATCTATAATACGCTAGTCTGTTATTGGATTTTGTTTTTAAAATATTGCTTATTTTAAAAAATCTTGTTAAAATTGTCGACTTATTATGTAAATGTGAAATAACTTATTATTTAATTATTTTTGTTAGTAATACTCTGATTGGATTCTAACGTTTTTGAATTTTTTAGTATTTATTCATTATCTTTAGTGTATTTCATAACAATTAGTACATTCTATTCACAATTCAATATTAAGACGATTGTAAGTTTTAAATAATTTAAATTTGCCTTAATAAGAATTAGAAAATATACTGTATATCTGTATAGAAAATTTAATAATCATAATATTCGTTGATAAAAATTAAAGTAAGTTTATTAATAACTTATTTTATTTTATTTATTTAATTATAATTAATTGACTAAATATAGATTGACAATCCAGGATTGTATGTATTTTATGACTATTTATATGTAAATTCAAATATACTAAAAATCCAACTGTTTGTCTAATTTATACATTTATTACAATTCTAGAAATTATAAATTAAATGAATATAATTCTGATGTATATATGCGAGAGATTTACATGTAGTGAGTGAGTAAATGAGAGAGAGAGAGAGAGAGAGAAACAGCTAGATTAGTTTGTACATTACCGCACAAATTTAAGCTGTGTTTCAATCAAATTAACTTTACCCATATAAATATTTAATTTTTAAGTTTTACCAAGACATACTGTACAGTAGAGAGAGAGAGAGAGAGCACAATACATTAATAACTATCTAACACAGAATAATAAAACTGATTTATTCTAAGAACAATGAGAATTTGTGCGGTAATGTACAAACTAATCTAGCTGTTTATCTATTAAGCAATTAACATGCTTATAAATATGTGATTTGATTTAATTTTAATACATAATTCACTTATGTTTTTTAATAAATTGAATTAAGATTGTGCTATCATTTATCAATTTAAGTTGCAATATTTACAAAGTGATGGATAATAAAATGCAATTATACATATATTTATGACATTAAATACTATAGTTTAACATTATTATTATAGTTTGCGATAAACAGCAATTAATTGTGAAAGCAGTAAATGCAAAATGTACATACTTTATCTGACCCGGTATCCCTAACAAACAGACAGCAATGAGCAATGGATTCAACTGGATCATGTGGCCAGGACTTTGTTATCGGCTTGTTTCAACAGTTTGGCCTAATGTTTTATTTGATACAACCCACAAGTTCCACATTTAGCTCCCCATACGACATTCCCAACTACGAACTCGAGGTAAATTACCTCTCAATTATTTATTTTTGAAAAGCATGTTTAATTTGATAACAAAATTGTTTTACTTACGTGAATAGATATGGCCGGTGTTTGCAACATTGTTATTTATTGAGCAACTGGTCCATTGGTTTCGCGGCTCAGACCCGACCAAACTGGCCAACACTATACTTAACTTAGGCTCAGGACTATTGGTGGCGATCACAAGGTATATGTAATTACAGAAAAATATTTATTATATTTATTTATGACAATAATAAATACAGAGGTAACATAAAATAAATTGACCAAGCAGAAAAATATTAATTTATTTTACATCGTAAAAATATGCTTATTTATTGACTCACAGAGTTCTACTATTGGCAATAATAATCAAAACAATGTATTACTTTCACTACAATTATCATTTGTTTTGTCTGTCGTCGTCGACCGACACGTGGTTTGTGTGTTTAATATTAAACGATTTCGTCTATTATTGGTCGCATCGGTCACTGCATCGGATCCACCTCTTGTGGGCCAGTCATCAGTTCCATCACAGCCAATGGCCCGACACAGACATGTCCACTGGGCACAGGCGCACAGTTATTGACTTCATTATTTGCGATGTATTTGCAATTACAGACATTTAATAAACACATATATTAAATGTAATAATTTATTTAGATGATGACCATTCCGTTATCCCTGATTATCCCACCGCCCATATTACTGGCACACATGCAATTTGGCCGCATATACCAAATATGGCTACACACAGGTTTGGTGCCCGGATTAGGGCGACTCGAGTACCTGATCAACACTCCCCGTCAGCATCGGACACATCACCGGTCAATTAGCTCCGGACAGTCCGGAAATTACGGCGGTCTACTTATAATATGGGACCGTATGTTTGGCACTTATATACATCCCATTGCACGCGATGCGACCGGCATTACCTGCTCCGGAATCACATACAATGTTATAGCACTTCAGTGTAGTTATTATTATAAAGTGTTATGGCGTGAGTTGACCATGGTCAGTGGTGTGCCTAATAAAATCAAGACCCTTTTAAGCAAACCTGAGTTCGTGAAAGGTACTAATTTGATTAGCCTTAGTAAATTAGTTTATTAATGTAAATTTAAATTATTATGTGTAATAACCAGGAATAACCAAAATAAGCTTATTTATAGATAAACATGAAATCCATGACAAATATAACCCGTATATAGCCTATTGGCGACTGAATTATTGTGCGATTCACGGCTTTATAGTAGCAATAGGCCTGTATGTGGTCGCCGATCACCCACTCGTCCGGTACTTCCCGGAAAACTCTGTGCCATTAATTATTGGTGTGTTGTTTACGTTAATTTCAATCGGATTAATATTTGACCAAAGGTATGAAGGTATTATATTCAGTATAACTAATATTTATACAATAATTTCTATAAAATAACTTTTAGATGTTATAAAAAAGTAGCAACTTACATTATTTATAAATATTTTAAATCTAAAAAAAAGAAATATAGCTTTAGGGGTTACGGATTTTGATTACCATATTTATAGTTCCCAATAAAATTATTTTCAGCCCTATCGCACCATTGGTTGAGATAGTCCGGTGCATTCTCTACTACCCGTTTGATAAATATTTGGTTAGCCGATGGGTGGAGACGTCAATGCCGGGCCATTTAATACCGGTCACCGAAGGTGTGCTTATATTTGTCCGTATTCTTCATTTTATATCAATAGTTGTGTGGCTAATGGTGTGGATTAACCGCTGCAAAACAGGGTACAGTCAGAGTTACCATACGCTGTTACCAAAAGTTACTGATAACAGTAACCGACAGTCCAATCGCCGATTATTATACATAGTGATGGCTTTTAGCGCGTGGTTAATAATGATGATAGTATACACGCTCACGTATCACAAATGTAGTTCTAATCTGCAATACTTGTATGGATTTATCGAGATGATTTATTTCAAAATTACTCGATCGGATTTTTTTAAAACAGAAGCTGTGTTTCAATCAAATTAACTTTACCCATATAAATATTTAATTTTTAAGTTTTACCAAGACATACTGTACAGTAGATAAATGCTAATATTTTTAAAACTAAACACAATGTTCTATTGAAACATACAATAAATATATATAAGATATGATAATAAATAATAGAACTGAAATTTATTAAAAATTTAACTCTCATTTTAATTAATTTTACATAACCCGCATCTTATAAATAACGGGCACATGACAATTTTAAAAAATTCATTTTTTTCTGTGTATAACCCGCGAGTAATGCTCAAGATTTTAATGTATCGTCTCCGTAACATAAGCTGAACTTTTTTAATAAATAAAATAAAGACAATATTACGAGGTTTTATTGAATTACTTTTAATGATCTGATTTTTTAATAGATAACGGTTTTTTGCATCGAGTTTGGCGATGATTTTATGTTTTAACCTTGACTCATACATGTGCAATACTGGCGACCAGTGTTTCACACTTCACTGAACACAATGAGTAAGGATTAGTGTTATTCATTGAATGCATTGGTAATCACTGGTCGCCAGCATATGAGTCAAAGTTGAAAATAAAATCATCGCCAAACTCGATGCAAAAAACCGTTATCTATTGAAAAATCAGATCATTAAAAGTAATTCAATAAAACCTCGTAATATTGTCTTTATTTTATTTATCAAAAAAGTTCAGCTTATGGTACGGAGACTATAACTCATTTCAAATGAGTCATTTGTATTGTATTTGAACATTCTGTAAAATAATATTCATTTCATTAAATTATTGTAGTAGAATACTCAAATATAAATAAATAACACGTGCGTTAATGTAGTGTACAGTAAAGTTACTTTATTTGATTATTTTATTTAATTATAAAACAAAATTACTTAAACATAAAAATATTAATATTTGCACAAATAACACATCAATCATTTACATGTCTATAAAGACTAGTATAGGCAATATGACAAACCTACGTAAACGTTGTATTTTACATACACAAAATTAATAAAATACAAACGCTTACAGTTAGGTCTATTTGTAAATTTTAAAAAATATTTTATAACGCTTGTGTAAAATGATTGCATACAAAGTGAAAACTATACAATTTAATGCAACAAATGATAGTGAAAACGAAGATCATAATAGTAATAAAATTTTAATTAAAATTGCATAAATATTGCAAATATTTTAAATTTGTATATTAATTTTTAGATTTACAAGTTTTGGAAACAATCGAATTAATTGTAGAATGTGAAACATCTAGTGATTAAAATTTATAATTTATGTCATAATTGAAATAAAATTGTATCAATTTTTATTCTTAAAATATGCAAATTTTTTCGTCATAGTAATAATAAATAAAAACAAGTAAGATTTTTGTATTTTGCAATGTAAATTGCATAGCTTTAAAAAAATTGATAATTAACCAACCTTAGATTTCACACATCAATGACTCCCTAGCGTTAGCAGTACTGCCCTTATCTCTTAATTGAATCAACTATTTTATCTACCTTAGATACTTATACTACACATTTTGGGTTTAGATTAGTATAATGTATTCTATTGGTACATGATTATTGTATTGAGTCACTCATGTTTGTTAAGAAATTGAATTTAGATTGTACTATCATTTATCAATTTACGTTATAGTTACACCGTAGTGAATACTGAAATGCAGTTATACATAGGTTTATGAAAATAATTACCATAACTTGTTAACTATTATTATTATTATGAAATGTTTGCAATAAATAGCAATTAATTGTGAAAGCAGTAAATGCAAACTGTACATACTTTAGCTGACCCGGTATCCCTAGCCACCGGTTACTAACATACTTGGTCACTAACCAGACAGCAATGGATTCAACTGGATCATGTGGCCAGAACTTTGTTACCGGCTTGTTTCATCAGTTTGGGCTAATATTTTATTTGATACAACCCGGAAGTTCAACATTCAATTCCCCCTATGACATTCCCAACTACGAACTCGAGGTAAATTACTTCTCAATTATTTAATTTTGGTAAACTTGTTTAATTTTATAGCGAAATTGTTTTAATTACGTGAATAGGTATGGCCGGTGTTTGCAACATTGCTATTTGTTGAGCAAATGATCTATTGGTTTCGCGGCTCAGCCCCAACCAAACTGACCAACACTATACTTAATTTAGGCTCAGGACTATTGGTGGCGATCACAAGGTATATTTAATTAATAATTATAGTAAAATATTTATTATATTCAATACTGACAATAATAAATAGCAAAAAAATAAAGCTTATTTATTGATACACAGAGTTCTATTATTGGAGATAGTAATCAAAACAATGTATTACTTTCACTTCAATTATCATATGTTTTGTCTGTCGTCGTCGACCGACACGTGGTTTGTGTGTTTAATATTAAACGATTTCGTCTATTATTGGTCGCATCGGTCACTGCATCGGATCCACATCTTATGGGCCAGTCATCAGTTCCATCACAGCCAATGGCCCGACACAGACATGTCCACTGGACACAGGCGCTCAGTTATTGACTTCATTATTTGTGATGTACTACTATATTAATTACACACATATTTAATAAATACATATATTAAATGTAATAATTTATCTAGATGATGGCCATTCCGTTATCCCTGATTATCCCACCGCCCATATTACTGGCACACATGCAATTTGGCCGCATATACCAGATATGGCTACACACAGGTGTGGTGCCCGGGTTAGGGCGACTCGAGTACCTGATTAACACTCCTCTTCAGCATCGGGCACATCACCGGTCAATTAGCTCAGGACAGTCCGGCAATTACGGCGGTTTACTTATGATATGGGACCGAATGTTTGGCACTTACATACATACCATTACACGCGATGTCAATGGCATTACCTGCTCCGGAATCACATACAATGTTATAGCACTTCAGTGTAGTTATTATTATAAGGTGTTATGTTCTAAGTTGACCATGGTAAGTGGCGTGCCTAATAAAATCAAGACTCTTTTAAGCAAACCTGAGTTTGTGCAAGGTACTTATTTAATTTGTTTAGTAATGTAAATTTTAATGCAATAACTAGGAATAACCAAAATAAGCTTATTTATAGATAAACATGAAATCGATGACAAGTATGACCCGTATATAGCCTATTGGCGACTGAATTATTGCGCGATTCACGGCTTTGTAGTAGCAATAGGTGTGTATGCGGTTGCAGATCACCCACTCGTCCGGTACTTCCCGGAAAACTCTGTGCCATTAATTATTGGTGTGTTGTTTGCGTTAATTTCAATCGGATTAATATTTGACCAAAGGTATGCCCAAGTTTACGTTTATTATATTTAGTGTCACTGATACAATAATTTATTTAACATAACCCATGAATGTTATAAAAAAAAGTATTAACTTACAATATTTATAAATTTTAATTCTAAAAGTACATAAAGGATTATCTATATTTATTTATTCTCACCCATATAATTATTTACAGCCCTATCGCACCGTTGGTTGAAATATTCCGTTGCTTACTATACTTCCCGTTTGATAAATATTATGTTAGCCGATGGGTGGAGACGTCAATGTCGGGCTATTTAACACCGTTCATCGTAGGTGTGCTCATATTCGTCCGTATTCTTTATTTTATATCAATAGTTGTGTGGCTAATGGTGTGGATTAACCGCTGCAAAACAGGGTACAGTCAGAGTTACCATACGCTTTTACCAAAAGTAACTGATAACAGTAACCGACAGTCCAATCGCCAATTATTATACATAGTGTTGGCGTTTAGCGCCTGGTTAATAATGATGATAGCATATACGCTTAGGTATCACAAATGTAGTGATAATCTGCAATACGTGAAAAATTTTATCGAGATGATTTATTTAAAAATTACTCGATCGGATTTTTTTAAACGACACAAATAAACTTGATTCAACTTTGGCCATAATATTATTTAATTTTTAATATTTTGTCTAAACAGTACAGTTGATGAAGTTATTTAAAAAATATAACATAACTATTTAAGCAATAATTATTAATTTTGTATACTAAAGATAATCAATTTGACCGTCTATAAGATATTAAAATAACCTTGGCTTTATTTTTTTCTAAAATTTATCTCAATTTAAACAATTATTTACAGCAAATATGATTACTAAAACAGATTAATGACTTATTCTTAAAATATTGACTTATTCAAGAGTATAACTTAATTTAACAATGCCTATTTATTCATAATATTTAATTTATTTAACATTATATAATATCTCTAAAAAACAACATAATATTGTAACTCATTTGTATTTTATTTGAACATTCTGTTAAATAATATTTATATTATTAAATTATTAT